CAGTCTCTCTCCTACTTCAGGGCACCATCACCTCTCACCTAGGTTGCTGATGAATTTTCTCATCACTGGTCTCTGTGCTTTAAATCTTTGTCTTCTCCAATTTGTCCTCTACATGACTGCCAAATTGATGCTCCTAAAACTACATCATCCCCTACTGAAAAACCTTCTGTGTCTCCCTACTGCCCCTTATTGAAACACAGACTCCTTAGCTTGGAATTTAAGTCTCTCTACAGCCTGGTACAGCGGTTCCCAAAGTAGGCAATACCACCCCCTAGGGGCGCTAGAAAGATCGGGGGGCAGTAGTAACCTCGGGTGCAACTGGGGGATATTGAATAAAAATAAAGGAAAGAAGAGAAGAAAATTTTGAAAAACTTTGTACGTGTTTCATCTGTCGTGTAACAGAGTTAAAGTCGTAGCGATTACATTATTTTCCAAATAAATGCACAAAATGCAAGTCATAATCAATCAGCACTCAAGTCTACTGACAGGTCTTAACAAGCAAGTGTCGGCAGGAGAGTATATCATGCATCAGCAGGAATATATGCATGTAATGACTTGTTTACAATATGATACTATAAGGTTACATGATGCAATATTGCATCATCAAAATGTCAATGCAGGAAAAAACCCACAAACTTACAGCAAGTTATTAAATTTAAGATGTGTCATTTAAAAAAAATATTTTTTTAAATGATGCAAATTTTTAAAAACTATTAAAGGGTTAAAGAAAGTAGATTTACAGGGAGATGCCAAGTAATTTTTTTTAAAAGGGGGCGGCAGGCCGAATAAGTTTGGGAACCTCTGGTACCTACCCATCTTTCTAGTCTAATTTCACACCACTTCCTTAACACAGTCTTTGCTGTAGTCTAATTGTCCTGCTGGCTGTCTCCTGTATGTGGTGTGCCTTTTCATGGGTGATGGTGCCCCATGTCTGGAGGGCATCCCTCCCTCCCTCTGCCTCTTGTCATACCTGGCTTCATTCAAAGCGTAGTTCAGGTGCCTCCTCTTAGACAAGGCCCTTCCTTACATCCCCAGCTGTTAATGCTCCCTCCCCTCCATCTCTCTGCATTAATCGGCCCTTCACACGCTGTTGCGTGTGAAAGCAGAATCCAGCCATTTGTTGTTTACAAGAGACACACATAAAGTTCAGGTAAGGGACTAGAGCAGAATCTATTGTGCTACAGCTGAAGTGAAAAAAGGAAGGAGTAGCAATCATGATCTCAGGCAGAGCAAAAACAAAAATAAACCTAATTAAAAGGAATAATCAGGGAAACTATATTTTACTGGGAGAAGGGGGCTCTGACGCCCCTCTGTTACATGATGATGGACTCTGAGGGGAGAGAGAAACGAGGGGCAGGGCACCAACAAGACGCTGCTGTTAGGGCAAACACATTTCTGAAAAATTATTCGTCATTCCACAAGTTGCTCAGTCAAAACTTGAATGGGCACCCAGGAGGAGAAACGTCTCTTCTTTGGTACCTCACTCTCCCCCACCCCCCTTCTTGATATTTGGGATAAATCACCAAGCACTAGTGCTCTCATTCTACACAAACTGGAGAAGAAACTGAGTTATGCTGCTTTGCTCCCACAAAGCATCAGTGGCACACCCAAGTGGGTTCAATGTGGCCCAGACAGCCTTCATCATGAAGCCTGTGCTTTCATCACCAAGGAAGCCAATAGGACAGCATCCCGTCTACTGCCTGTGTTTCCTCTAACTCACATCGGCCAGGAGCCCAAGATGCCAGAAGCGATGGAATAAGCAAATGTGCTCTCCTACAGGAGATCAAGCCCAGTGGCCAGAGGGAAGGCATCAGGCCAAGCTTCCAGACCCATTACTCCTCTCCAACATGAATGTTCCTTGGCTACGGTGCTGAAGGCAGAAGAGCCTCCTTAACACAAGGGGCCAGAAGGAAAGGCACCACCATCAGCACTGTCTGTGAGCTGAAGTGGGTAAGCACCTGGAGGGTGGCCTGTCTGGTCTGATTTGTCTCCCCCATGCTTAGCACAGGGCCTCGTAAAAACAGTACCCATAGCAATCGTCATCATCATCATAACTAGTGTTTGTATGGGCCCTAAGGGCCACAAAGCACTTCATAAATGTCTCATTTGATCCTCACAACACACTGGGAGACAGGTGTATTTTGCAGATGAAGAAACCGCAGCAAGCAAAGGTTAGATGACTTGCAAAGGGTCACACAGCTAGTGAAGCATCCTCAGGGCGATTTCAACTCAGGACTTCCTTTCTCCCGCTGCACCACCTGCACACAGCAGTGGCTTAACAAATGCTTGTTGCATTGAAAGCTGCTGGACTGAAAAAGTGTGTTTGCAATTCTAAACATACAGCGCTCATTCCAAAAGACCATTCCAGGGCGTGTCTCCCAGCCTTTAGAACCTTGTGGCTCTCCAAAGGATGGGGATGAAAATGGGAGCCCGCCATGGGAAACTCTCCCCTACTTTCCCCGAGCTTCCTGGGGTTGCCTGATGCCTGTTTGAAAAGTACTGAATGTCTTCCTCAGTACCTCCCTTCCTCCAATTAATTTAAGATTAAATGTTACCATCAATGATTATAAAATCCTAATTTGATTTGGTCAAAACTTTGTTTTGAAACTAAATCATAATAAGCTTTCATTTACGGTGAGATGCATTCTCCTATGAGGATAACTGTGGTAAATCAGGGAAAGCTGAGTTAAAATCCAGTCTCAGAAGTTTATTAGCTGGGTGACCTTAAACAAGTTACTTCACCTCTGCTCACCTCAGTATGCCAATCTGTAAAGGGGATAATAGAAATAACATTCACCTGCAAGGGGGAGGTGGGTGAGGATCAGAAAATGAAATGATAATGACTGTGAGGTGCTCAAAACGGTGACTGATGGGAGCTCTCTGTCATGACTCTCTTTTCTTGAACTGAATGTAAGGATGCTATACTGGGTCTTAGATATGACTGGTTGAAGGCCAAAGTCCATAAGAGGAATGATTTTCTTTGTCAGATAATCTGGAAGCACCTCCAGCTGAACTGGTGCCCCTGGCCTGCTAAGACTTTGTGTGTGTTATCTAAACTTTTCTTCTTATATTGTGAAATTTGGGAAAACATTGCATCTGAAGTGCTGTGAGAAAAGTCACTTCTCTTTTAATTTGGATGCTGTTATAGTACAAATTCAGCTGTGATAGAACGTGGTCCAAATGTCTGAAGATGGTTAAATATGTAATTATGTTTTACTTTTAAGTAATAATAATAATAATAATAAATAATAATAATAATAATAATAATTTACTGTTTAAAGAAAAAGAGCAAAGACCCCTCAAATGATCCTGCTCTGTGAGGTCCCTTGAGACTTTTCTACTTTGGCAAGGCTCAGAAGATTTCATCAGCTCTGCTGGCAGCATGTGATAAAACTCTGACCAACTCCCAGCCAGAATGGGGAAACTCACTGGTTTGCTTACAGTAAAGAGTTTTTATCTGAGATCATTTGATCAACAGTTGTGAAAACGATGCAATTGTACCTGTTCATGGTCTGTAGTGATGCTAGTCTTTGAGCCAACTTAGTACCAACAGATCTTGGCTTAGAAGATTTCAATCTTGCTTTTGGGGCAAGATTAGTGATGACGAGATGAACCCCACACCATCTCTGCTAATACTAAAGAGACAGAAGGGCTCCTTCTCCGAGTCAGGCCCTCCCAGATCCTTTTTCTGACTCTTCCTTCGGCCTGTCCATAGCAGACGCCAGGGTTCAGCTGAAGACGGAAAGAGTGAGGGTTTGCACAAACAGGAATTCTCCAAAGCTTCAGGTGAATCATGGATTCCTAATCAGATACTCTCTTAGAGCTCTGCTGTTGGTGGAATCAGAACCCTGAGGTTTGAGCTAGTTTTCACCACATGAGCTAGTTACTGGAAGGCCAAATTTAAGCGGTTGTCCTAAGCTGGGCAGATTTTAGCGGAATTCTCTAGAACTCAGAGAAGCAAATCTCCTGTAGAAGCCCCTTCAGGGCTGCCCTGAGGATGAGCCCTGTTCCAGACCATCCCAGGGAAGGCCTTTCCAGGGACCCAACGATACCCGGGACACGTGGGACTCAAGGTGGAGCACGCTGATTCAACACACACTGGGAACGGGTTACCAGGCTACCAGGACACGATGTTACTTAATCCTGACGACCATGGCTGTATCACTGTGACTTTTTGTTTCGGGATCTGTATGTCTGCTGCGTTTTGTTGGCTGCCTTGGTGACATGGAAGATGAGCCCGTGGTGAGCTCTCTAAGCAGTTTGGTCTGCGGCCTATAGAGTGCGGTATATGCCTTCCTGGCTGTGCCTCTCACCCCACCTCTTGGATGCCCCTCACGCAACCTACCATTTTGTCCAGAAATCTCGGCTAACGCATTTCGATAAGTGATCTTGGGGGTTGGAAAGCCCAGGATCAAAGCGGGGAATGTTACATTGAAAATGAGCATTAATGACTCCATTTTGTCTTCTACCCCCAATTCTGTGAAGTTTCAAACTGATTTTGGAGATGGCGCCACTGATTCACCAGACCACAAGAACGCCTCACCTGAACGTCTCCAGATCCCTTGAACCAATGAGAAGCCAGGTGTTTTAATCCCTACATCCTGTTTTTGATTCCCTCCAAATTTTATGTTCATGAGGAGAAACCAAACTCCTGGGTCCTTGGCTACTAAGACCTGGGCTTAAGACCTTAGCCCTGGTTTGTTTCGCAGTCATATGCATTGCCAAAAAAATAGTCTGGATGAAACTCAGTTTCTTTTTCTTTTTCCCTCTGGAACCGTGGGTAACCTGACGACTCAGGTCTCCCTGCTTCTGGGTCCAGCAGCTATCGCCGGAGCCACTGCAGTCCCGGGGGCTGAGCTGATGGGCCCGGGGTCACTGGGAAAGCAGGGGTGCCAGACGGGTCTCTGGACTCCAGGAGCAGTGCTCTTCCCCCAGGAGACTGCCACAGTCTGTCTTTCTACGCGGCCCTACACCAGAACTCCTCAGACCTGGCAACGTACCGTGTGCTTTGGGGGATGCTGCGCATTCCTGAGGAGCTCCTTCTCTTTCCTCATTGCGTCGGCCTGCTCCCGCCATTTCTGCAGCATTTTCTTGTCTCTGGAAAAAACATACGCATTGTAAATGACAGATCAAAGCACTTTAAATTAAATTAATGTTATGGGGGGCTTTCCTTTGGAGTCTGACTCTCTGTGACCCCATCTGGGGTTTTCTTGGCAAAGATTCTGGAGCAGTTTGCCATTTTCTTCTCCAGCTCATTTTACAGAGGAGGCAACTAAGGCAAACAAGGTAAAATGACCTGCCCAAGGTCACACAGCTAGGAAGGGTCTGAGGCTGGATTTGAACTCAGGAATGAGTTCCAGGCCCAGAGCTCTATCCATGGCGCCACCTAGCTGTCCATATTTAAAGCTCATCAAGCCATTTTAGACGATACCTTGGCCATAAGCCACTGAGTATAGGCCACTACTATTATCAGAATGAGAGCAAAGTCTTACTCCTCTCCTAAGTTGGAGCAGGGATACCTGACTTGGTTCTGAGACCCTGATCCACCAAAAGTGGTCACTATTGAAAAACAACTGAACACTGGCATGGACCGGTTCTACAGGAAGTGTCAAAAGCGTACTTTTCCCACACAGGGTTGGGGGGAGGTCCTTAGGGCACAGCCCAGTGTGTCTCTGAAGGGCTCGTGAATCCAGTGCTGAAGAGACCACAGATTTTGGGGCACTCGCCTACCCAAATATAAAAACCTGTTCAGGTCACCTGAGGGAGTCCTGGCCAGATGTGAGAACCAGAGGCAGAGAGGGGGGTTCGCCAGCACAGCCTCCCAACAAATCCAGACATCCCTGGCAGGAGGAAGAGTAGGGAGCGTGCCTGCTGGGCAGGAGGCCAGTGCCAGGCCCTCGGGCAGCCAAAGGCATCACAGAATGAAATAAAAACAGGTGAGTGGAGGCAGAAACAATGTAAAGGGAAGGAAGAATGGCCCAGGAAGTACTGGGGTTCATCTGGTTCTTGTTTACAAAGGGCATCACTAATTCTGCAGGGGAAGCCAATGCTGGAGGAATGGAAAGCTGAAGGACATTCTGCAGCTGCCAATCAACTTACATCAAGAAGTATTTGTTATTTCACAAGGAGAAATCTTTCCAAGGAGGAGGAAAGAGAATAAGGCTGAAAATGAGAGGCATGGGTAAGTGAAGTACAGGAAGGAAGGAAGGAAGGAAGGAAGGTAGGAATGGAGGGAGGGAGGAAGAGAGGGAGGGAGGGAAGAAGAGAAGGAGGAAAGGGAGGGATGGAAGGAAAGAGGGAAGGGAGGGAGGAAAGAAGGGAACATGGGAAGGGAGGGAGGGAGGGAAGAAGGGAAGAAAGGAAGGAGGGAGGGAGAGAAGGAAGGAAGGAAGGAAGGAAGGAAGGAAGGAAGGAAGGAAGGAAGGAAGGAAGGAAGGAAGGAAGGAAGGAAGGAAAGAAGGATGGACCACAGTTGCTGGAACCATGAACTGATCCACCCATTTTGGAGAGCTATCTGGAATTATCCCCAAAGAGTTATTAAAGTGTATATACCCTTTGGTCCAGCAATACTACTATCGGGTTTGATGATCAGGGAAAAAGGAGAAGAACCTACATGTTGTAAAACATTTAGAGCAGCATTCTTGGTTGTGGCAAAGAACTGGAAATCTCAGGGGAGTCCGTCTGTTGGGGAATGGCTGAGCATGCTGGGGGACATGATTGTGATGGAGGGCTGCTGTGCTGTAAGAAATGATGAGCTCGATGAGCTTAGAAACACATGGAAAGACTCCCGTGAAATACTGAAGAGTGCAATGAGCAGAACCAAAAGAATGCTGTACACAATAAGGGCAGTATTGTTCTAGGATCAACTTTGAGCAACCAAGTCACTTTGACTATTACCAATACCCAAATTCACCACAAGGGACCCAGGAAGGAAGACGCTGTCTGCACGCCGAGAAAGAACCGGCAAAGAGATGCACAGAATGCATTTGATCCAGTGAGGAAGAAGGCACCTGCAAGGCTCTCATGAAGCAAGGTGTCTCCTGCGTACACTTACAAATAATTCAAGATTGTCTGAGAGATGGAACACCACAAATATGCCTGATCACAGACAGCGGGCAAGGCAAGGCACGGAGCAGGGAAAAGTGCGAGGTAGGGGCTGTCTTCTGTCTCTTTTTGTGCACCCGGTGCTTACTGACTGACTGAGGGACCGGCTGGATGGAGGAGAGCCAATGTAAGGCCAGGCTGAAGAGGATTCCAGAGGCTCCTGATTAACGATCACCTTGTGCTGAATACTGCAGAACCTGCTGCAGCTCCAGCCCCAGAAGACAGCAGAATTTCCTGGAAGAGACCCCTAACTACTCCAGAGTTTAGCCTCACCACTTTGGGAGGCTGTCTGGCTCAGGAGTCAGAGGACCTGGGTTCAAATCCTACCTCTGACAGGAATGTGCTTATGTTGAAGGTAGAAATCACACCCAAGAGAGGAAAAGCAGGTGGACAAGGGGTCTCTCTTCTGGAGGTGAGAAAATCATGACGGCGTAAGCCACTGATTCAGAAGGAATCTGACAGAAGGGAAGGGCCTGCGGGCTTAGGAAAAGCCTCTGTCAGACCCAATGGACGCTCATCTGTGCTGAAAAAGGCAACTCTTAGAAGACGTCCGTGACTGATGCCCCAACTTTCCCATCTAGACCTAAGCTTTATGAGAATCATCTACATCACAGCCCCAGCTTTAAAATAAAAGGGTGGACTGGGTGGCCTCCAGCTCTCGAGGAAGGATTCCATGACCCATGTGGGAAGGCCCATGTGGACAAAGAATGTTCACTGTCAAGGCTGCCCCAGGCATTTAGAAGCAGCATAACCTAGTGACGGAGCTGGTCTTTCCATAGCAATATCTGAGTCTGTGGGCTCAGTACTGAACAGGAAGAGGAGAACCCACTGGGGGCTCCCACCCTTCCCAAAATTTACAGCTCCTTCAAAGACCCTACACTTCTCCTGAAAACAAAGGCCCACTTAAAAGCCAATCTTCCACCAGGGTGCTTTCTGGCTATAAGCCATGGAACTCAACAGTCTCCAGAGAATGGAAAATCAACCCGGCACAGAGGAGCACAGGGAGACACAGGCTGGGGGTCGGCAGGCCGCAATATAAAACTCCCCGAAGAATCTTCCAGAAGTACAGGAATAAAGGATGTCCTTAGGGACATTAGACAGAAAGAGAAGCTAGGTCCAGGGAGAGCAGGAGGGAGGACTGTACCCTATGACATCAGAAGAAAGGGAAGGAAGGCACCAGGGCACAGGGCATGCATGAGATGAACCTGAGGGAGGGGCTGGAAGGGCAGCAGGGAGAGGCCGTCTCGAGGCTGGAGATCACCGCCATCACCATCGGCACTCCTTGTCAGTCATGGGGGTGGGAATTGAGCTCGCTGCAAAGTTGGCGAGGCGCTCTTGCGTCATGACCCTACCTTTTCCGCTGCTCTATTAAAGCTTGCTTCTCTTTTAGCTCCTTGAGGGCAGCTACCCGTCTTTCTTCGTCTTTCTTGGCTTGGACTGGTGTCTCATAGGATGGAATTTCAGGAAACATGTTCTTGAATGAAGAGATCTTCCTTCTTGGATTATACGTTTTTTTCAGTGGAATCCTTAAAAGAAATGAGTGATAATCGATCACTCACGGTACAAAGAGACGTAGCATCATACAATAAACAACTCCTTATTTTAAACCACAGCCTACGGATTGGTTCCACATTAAAATGACCTTGACCACTAGGGACTGTAGCCGACTCATAGAAATCTATACTATTGATCTGCATTAAGTTTTAAAAAGTTACAAAATTATGGAACTTTAGCAAGTGAGCAACAGGAACCCAAATGCTAACACTGATGAATGGCGGTGGTTTTAAGACAGCCTCAAGGAAATGCAGCTCCTGAAGTCATTTCTAAGAAAACCCCACATCAGAGGGTAGGATAAAAGCTTTGGAATGAAGGCTAGGTGGTTGAAACACACTATCTTGTTACAATCAGCAAGGACCCAGTCCCCCCACGGGCACCTAACAGCAAATGGTAGCACTCCTCCAAGCCTGGGAGTGCGCTCAGAAGGCACTGGCCTGTTACCCAGCTTGTGCCGTGTCGAACCCTGCCCTCAGACCCAAGGCCCCCCAGCGGGCAACCTAGGGGCCTCTGAAGGACACAAGACCACCACAGAGACCCTGCCCCTGCTCTGCAGGTCCCGGCTGACTCTTTCTCTGCTCCCCTGGCACAACTTCCCGATGCATTCACAGGATCTATCATACAAGGGTTGTTCAAAGTCCTCAGTGACACAGGCTCTCCAAGCCTGCCTTGGAACTGGCAGACCCACCAGGCACTTTCTTGGCACAAACAGCTGCCCCTGCCCCTCTCCTTAGCTGGTGAGGTTCTGTCCTGTTGAGCGGCTGTGCACCGCTGGACCACTTTAGGGTCGTGAGAGATGCCACATTAACAAGTCACCAGAAAACCACAGAGTCGAATTAAGTTAAAGGTCAAGGCCAGAACCCAGAGCCCAGGTTCGAATGGGCAGCGGAACTGCTACGGAGCGGCAGCCCAGCCTGCCAGTTCTGGATGGTGTCAAGAGGGAGCGCAATCAATCTGGAGAACACGGAGGCTCGCTGCACGCCAGGATGCATGATCTGACTGGCACACGTCAATGAAATGTGGGAGAACAAAACCATGCCTGGGGCACTCTGGACAGGCATCACGAGAAGCACTCCCCATCAGAGCTTTCAAAATGATGCCGGGGACCTCACTCTGTTCATGCGTCCCGTGGGCGTCAATCCAACAAGGGAGTGAGAACAGTGGGATGCGTCCCCGTTTCCATCTCAGCACCCCATGGATTGCCCCCCCTTGCCCCCAGGCATGGCCAGACTCCCTCCTCAGCCAGCCATGAAGCAGCTCATGGGCCCCGCCATGATGGCATGTGTGTCTTGTGTGCGCAGTGGGGCGTCCCCAGCTGGTGCCCAGCAGTGGGCCTCTGACAATGTGGGAGATGACTTCTCAAGTCCCCTGTCTCATGATCTAGCGCCCTGGTCCCACTGATTACGGGGTGCAGAGGAGGGAAGAGTCGAGAAGCCACGGAGGACCCCAAGGCACGGAGCAAGGGAACTATGAGGGCTGTGGCCGCTATGCTCGCTGAAGTCTGGGACTCTCAGCAGGATGGGTCTCTCGCGCGTCCTGCCTTCTGGAGGAAACACAACTGTCCCAGAGACCCTGACACAAAGCTGGGGACCTCCCCCTCCAGCACCATCACCTCTGCTGTGTCTGTGGTCAGAAAGGCCTGGATCGACCTCTCACGTCCGACCCTCGTGAGCTGTGCAGCCTGGCCAGTCGCCCCTCATCAAGTCTCAGTTCCCTGACCTGTAAAATGGGATAATCACACCTGCAGCTAGTGGCTCCCCAAGCATTTGTGAGCTCCTAATGAGATCCTGGGTTTAAATAGGCTAAGGAGGATTTCCTGTGGGAGGAAATGCCTTCCGCCCACGCAGACCAGTAGCGACTGTAGGCAGTCTTCTCGAGGGATTTAGCCAGGACAGAAGAGAGGAGGGATTGGGGCAGGCAGGGATGGGTGGATTAAATGAAAGGTGTTTTTTTTTTCCCCTATACTTAAGACTTTTATTTTTCTTGTCCTGGCCCAAGATTGACACATTATTCATTTTTATTTTTGCTACATTTTGAGTTCTAAGTAGTCTCCTTCCTTCCCTCCCTCCCAACCCCAACCTAGAGAAAGCCAACACTGGAGACACATATATGTGAGAATGTGTAATACGTTCTGCCATTCAATGAGAGTGTTTTTGAGGATGGGGAAAACATGGGGCACGTCTGTAGGCAGTGGGGGAGCAGCCAACAGACAAGGAGAGACTGCAGAGAAGAGTGAATGAGGATGGGGAGGATGGTACATTGCAGATATCTCCGACGCTGAAGCTGGGGTGGAGCAGTCACATATGGACAGCCAGGATACTTGGACAGGGCGAATCAAGACCGAATCTGGAAATGAGGACGGGGTGCCAGTGTCGAACGCTGCGGCGCCCAGCAGAGAACAAGGTAGCAGAGCTAGGAGAGGTCAGGGCCAGGGAAGGGACTAGCTGGGAGGATTCTGAGTCAGCGAGCCAAGGAGAGCATTGAGATCTGTCCCTCACAGGGTGTCTGCATCAAAAGTCAGGGCGTCCTTAGAACCGAGGCACAGGGCTGATGTGAAGATGTTGATGAAATGCAGGGCCAGGAAAGGCTCAAGCTAAGTGTGCACCTAAATGCTAGCAGCAAAGATTTGTTTGTTTTTGACAAGAATAACCAAACCTATCCTGAGGATGTCCAACACAAAAGTCCCACCTCTACCCAAAGAGTCCAAGAAGCCCCTATGTAGCGACAGGAGCCCAGAACTGCAAACGAGGTCGCTGCCCTCTGATCAGGGAACGGCTAAACAAGCCAGGCACAGGACTGTACCTGAATCGTCATCCGTACGCCCTAAGAGATGACGGGCAGAACCAGAAAGACAGGGACGCACCCAAGAAACGCTGATCCACGCCGGGCGCGCTCAGACTTTACTGCAGCTGCTGGCGATACCCCTAACCAGCTGAGGACACTCCGACCAGATTAATCAAGCTGAGGCATCTGGCTGGCTGTGCCCCCAAAGCCCGGAATGACCGGGAATGACCATGCCACACTGGGCAGGGGGGCAGCTAGGGGGCGCTGTGGAGAGAGCACCAGGCCTGGAGTCAGGAGGACCTGTGTTCAAATCCGGCCTCACACACTTGACACTTGCTAGCTGTGTGACCCTGGGCAAGTCACTTAACCCCACTGCCTAGCAAACAAAACAAAACAAAACAAAAAAACACTGGGCAGGGAGAGGTTCAAACCCAAGGGCTTTGGTCAAGCAGCAGAGCTGGCTGCTGGCCCTCATTCTCGAGAAGGACCCAAATGACAGCACTACGCTGGGGTCAAGGCACATACAGTGTTTGACTGTGGCTGGTCAGACTGATAGGCGCTCACAAGGGCTTTGCACAGACAGAGCAAAGAGTCACACACTAACTCTCCCTCCATTTCAGTCTTGGCTTGCAACTTCCCATCAGCGCAGGAGAGGAGCTTGGCGCCATGTTTGCGCTCACTGAAGGTTTCTGGCAACGTTGCTGAACACACCCTGCTCGGCATGAAGGGCGGGGGCGACTTGGGGGAGCCAGCGCAGTGGTAACATCTGGCAGGTGTGCCACATCTGGATAGGATGCGGCAGGAGCGCGGCTATGCAGGAACGGAGCCGTGCTTTATGTGCAGTTGGGCCACTGTGCATCTTTTCTTGCTCATCTCTGCAGTAAATGGAGCTGGGGGCCTGTTACTGGGCCCCTAAAAGGGGGCAGCACCACTCAAGCCAGAGGAGATGCCTCAGTCCTGGCCCAGAGCACACCCTCACCTCGGCGGCCTTCTGCCTGCCCGTCCAAGAGCCCACACTAACGCTTAGCAAAAGGGCCTTCTTCTCAGAGGAGGGCCTTGGGTCCTTTCAAGACCCTTCTTTTGGCTCCTTCTTTCTTCTCACCTTACAGCCAAGGAAACACAAAGGAATGAGACATGACTTTGTTTTTTTTTGTTTTTGTTTTGCAAGGCAATGGGGGTTAAGTGACTTGCCCAAGGTCACAGCTAGTCAGCATCAAGTGTCTGGGCCATATTTGAACTCAGGTCCTCTTGACTCTAGGGCTGGTGCTCTATCTACCTTGCCACCCAGCTGCCCCCAAAAAAGCAATTTGAGAAAATGAGAGTTATGCCATATTCTTATGCCCTTAGCCAGTGGGGAAGCTCTTCCCGTCCCCAGGGGGAAAGGCATCATTTTTCAAACTTGCCTCCAAATCCTTCCTTGCCACTTGCCCCTCACTGGCCTGCAATCTCTCCACATTGCTTGGATGTATTTATCCCATACAAAGGTTCTTTGCTGCCAGGAACTGTTTTGGGCCTGGCTTCTTTGTGAGTTCCCTCCTCCCCTACCTCTCCATTAAACAAACTGATTCAAACAGAGCACAAGATTTGTTGTAGATTTAGAGCCGGAAGATGGGGCTTTGCCCAAGCTCCTCATTTTGCCGATAAGGAAATGGAAGCTCGATGTCACAGAGGGAACAGCCCGGAGTGGTGTCTCTGTCTCTGAATGTCCATGGCCCTTGTGAGCCATCACCCCGAGGTGGCACTGAATTATTCACTTACTATTTCATCTGTCGATCCTATCTCCCTACTTCATGGCTGGCTACCTGAGGGCAGGGACCCTGCCCAGCCCAAAGCCTGGCCCAGCTCGCTAGTGGACTACTAGTGCAATGACTCAGCGATGGTCTTGGGGAAGGATGTCCAGGTCCCCGAGCCTGGCTGGCTTCGCATGAGAAATGGGCCAGCACTGGAAACTGTTCCAGCAGACTTGCCCCTGACTAGCATCCTCTTCAAGAGCTCTGGGTCAGTGCCACAGCACAGAGCTGGCAGGGCGGGGCCTCAGCGTGGCATTCGCTGACCCAACAAGGCACAGAGTGTTCCACGTGCTGTGGACACCACTGAGGGCTGGAGATCAACGGGGTAGGCCAGGGGCAAAGAGCTAACTCTGGATAACAGGCCCCCAGGTCAGAGGAAGAGGAAAAGGAGGGAAGATCCTAATTCTCGCTTCTAAAAATACAGACAAAAGTCAGCAGAATATCTCATTCTAGGCCACACAAACCCCAGGCTCAACGCAGTTATCACAAGGAGCACCAGCAGAACGGTCACTCTTTTAACTGGCATTAAAAATACCACGGATGCCGCCAGCTGCTTAAATGACGCACTGATTCTGAGAAACCCAAACTGAAGCGTGAGTGCAGAGTAACTGGATATAAATAATGACCCTCTCAAACTCTGAATCAAAGTCCAAAGGCCAAGAAAAATCTGCATTTCTTTCACCAAAGCGTGAAACTTCCGGAGCTGCCGAGCGGCTACTGTGTGCCGACCACCGAGAGTGCCTCGGGGACCTCCAGCCTCCCTGGCCACCTGAGGCCGGGAGGGTCGGTCCTGAGGGCTTCTTCGTGCACAAGCTGGCCGAAGGCAGGAAGCCCTTCCTCGGGCCTTCTCCAGGCCAGGCAGCCTTGGGTCGACGGGGCCCAGGGCCAAAGTCCTCCTGGTCACCCTGCAGCATCCAGAGAAACCACACAGTTACCACCTAAGGCTCACAGTAGGCCTGCAGAAGCACAACCACCAATGTTCTCCACCGAGAGAACTTGACTTTACGTGGATTAAAAAGTGGTCATGACCAATGCCCTGAGAACATCCAGTTGTGAGTTCGATGATGGCGTCATGCCCACTGGCACCAGGGAAACCTCCTCTGGCATCAGGTACGTCTCACATGCTTACACAAGGGGCGTAGGAAGGGAGGGAACAGCATTTGTTAAGTGCCCACTGTGTGCCAGACACTGCTACAGGCTTCACAGATACAATCTCATCTGATCCTCACAAGAACCCTGGGGGCGGGTGCTATTAAGACCCCCACTTTACAGTTGAGGAAACTGAAGCAACAGTGGCTGTGTGCCTCGTCACATAGGTAGGAAGGGTCTGAGGCCACACCAGAACTCACGTCCTCCCAGCTCCAGGCATGGGCCGTCTCCGACGTCCAGGAGCGAGGCGCAGTTCGGCCGTCAGGGAGAGGCCGGATGAGGCTCTAGGTCTGGAGAATCCCAAAGTCCCACAGAAGACCCGAGCCTCATCTGGCCCCTGGGCTTGGGTGACACCTGCCCTCCCGCCTCGTCCAGAGGATTAGCTCCTCCGAGTGGGTGACGGGCCTCACATAAGCGGGGTGATTCGTAGCGAATTTGGTGAAAATCTCAGGCAGGTCTCCCCAAAGCTCCGAGTGTCCAGACACACACACCGTTCAGGGCTCACCATGGGAGAAGAAAGGGAGAAGGCAGGCTGGAAGAAGGTTCTGCGGGGGCTCACCCCCCCCCCACCGACAGTGGCTTCGTGGGCAGGAGTGGTGGAGGGTGCCCAGTGCCCCGAACTCTGCAGGCGGTTTGCTTCCTGCCATCTTCCCAGACAGGTCTTTCAGCAGGTAGGTTCGAGGTTAGCCTCAAAATGTGGCTCTGCGGCTACGAGGCCATTGAGTCCCCTCTAGCCTGCCCTTGGTGATCCCATCCACCTGTGGAGATGGCATCCATGTCTCTCTGCCCAGCTCAGCCCTCTTCCAGTGGCTCTCCTTCGGAATCTGTGCACAGCCTCTTGGGCCTTGGAGCTGCTCAAAGGCGGCCTTGATGGCCCTCCCACGTTGCAGGAGATGCAAGTCTTCGGACAGTTCCCTCCACCCCAACCCTATCATGGTGCTTCAGCCCACAGCCTTCACTGCTTCCATGTCAGTCAGGACTCAGGCTCGGCTCTCTGCGCCTTTGGCTAAAGGCTGAAGTCTCCCATCTCACGCCTCCGAGGGCTGTGGAAATCCTTCCTTTGCCTCCAAGCCTGGCCCAGGCATCACTTCTTCTGCCACTCCTGGCACCGTTCTGTGCTGGGCCTGCTATGGACTGATCCTGGTAGAATTCCCATTGTTGATTCCCTCAAAAGGGCAGGCCTCCGAGGGCAGGAACTCATGCTGCAGGGCCAAGCACAGAGCCACACGCACAGAGGGCATCTGATGAATGGGTGAGAAAGACTGGGGAACCACGCAGCCTGGGAGTTAAAGACATTTCCCCAATTCTCTGGCAGGGGGACTCTGGCTCTTTTCCCTTAAATTGAACAACTTCGAGGTGATGACCCCTCTCCTCCTCTCCCTTTCTCTCAGTGTGTGCCTCACTCGCTCCATCTCGGCCTCTCAGCTGAACAGCAGGTGAACTTACCATCTCCCAGAGGGGAACCTCGGGCCAGCTTGGCCAAAGCGGGCTAACAGTTGGCTGACTCTCAGTAACCTTCTTCCAAGGCCTGCTCTCCTTGACGCGCTTCTTCTCCCTTTTAGAACGGTCCCAGGTGCCTTTCTGGCTGTGGTCTACACTGCTGGGAACAGCACACAGGGTCTTCCTATAGAGGACAGTCTGACACAGAGTACTCCTGCTGCTGTGAACACAGCCGGCCAACGCCCACCTTTCCAGGCTTATCTCATGATCGGCATCTTCTGCACGCAGCGCCCGGGCCAGGCCAGTGTATGCCCCTCCATGGGGGAACGCCTGCCCTCCTCTCGTCCCCTCTGAGTATCCCTTGCCTCCTTCAAGGCTCGGCTGATCCCCCCGTGATTAATTAGTGTTTTCTCCAGCTTCAGTGGATGGTGCCTCTTCTGGGTGAATGGAAGCTCCGGGAAGCAGGACGTTGTAGGTGTGAAATAAAGCTGGCGTCGGAATGGGAGAGAAGCATCCCTGCGAAGGCATCTCAATCCTCTCAACGGCCCACGCAGTCAGCAGTTGTCTGTGGTTCTTTCTTTGCGCTGGAGGAGGCCGGGAAACGGCCTGTACAGCTGTCTGGAGGATGCCAGCCTCGGCCCCACCCTGACCCACCGTGGGCCTTGCTCTCCCCACAGTGTGGGAGGGAACACTGGACCTAGCTCCCCAACTGGGCGACAAGACGTCGTGGCCGCCCCGACACAGAAGTGAGCTCCACGGCGTCCGTGTGCTTGTCGTCCTGCTCTCGGCTCCTAAGGAGGGGGCAGATTCGAGCACAGTCCCCACCTCAGTCTGAGTGCAGTGAAGGACGAACTGAGACAGCCTCCAAGGCAGCCTTTACAAGAGCTCCAGTGAGCTCAGGGTGACCCTTAGCATTTCTTGGACTCAAGTACAACATTAACTGCACAAAGGTCTATGTTTCCACTGAGTGCCAAGGACGCTTTGAGCTCACTCAGCTTTCCTTTCACCACTGAGAGGCAGCTGAGGGTGGATGAAGTGCAGATGGGGAAGAGAGCTGACATCTTCCCCTTAAAACTCTTTTTATGTTAAAGAAGAAACAGAGAGTGCTGTGTACCGAATGTAGCACCCCGCTGTGGGAGGTGGACAGAGTGGGGAGCATCGTTTGGAACAGATGAGCATTATCTGAGGGGCCTCAAGTCTGGCCCATCCTGGAACAAGATGGCCCTTGATACCAAACCCCACAGGCAGCCATCCACACTGATGACTGGGGGGCACCGGGGTTAGACACTGACCCCAGGCATCATGCCCCTTTCTAGCCCAACCTTCCCTGGGTCTCGGGGTGGGGCTCCAGGCCCCGTCCCACACTTGGCACACCCACCTCATGTGTCTGCCTCCTTCCTGAAATCGGATCGCCGGACCACGAAGGGTCTGACTGGGTAGACGTCATGACTGACCTATGCTGGGCTTTCTGGCCAAAGACGCCCACATCCACTGCCTTTTCCACTCCCTTCTTGGGCAAAGCTTGGCTCCTTCCCCAACTCCATCCCTTTCATCCATCACACATTCCTTTGGTCCCCATCAAGGGGCATGCCTCTTATCCTGATACTCAGCACAGGGCGCTAAGAGACAGCAGTGATGGCAGTGATGGCCCTTCTTCAATGCCAGATAAGGCCTGGCCCAGTTCTGGCTCCCAGTTAGCCCATGACTGTGGAGGCTGAAGTGGTCATGCCACTTTAGGCTGAGGGTTTAAGACGCAAAAGTCACAATCATCACCTACCTTTTAAGGATACTCTTTTTCATAACTGACCTGAACGGGTTTTTCACTTTCTGACCATGGTCCTTCATGTGGCTGTCCTGCCGGCTGGGAGGCAGCTGAAGTGGCAGGAGCTGGTTCGTGAGCATTTCGGCTTTTTCACTGGCGACTATTTCCTGCCTCAGCTTCCAGAACCGCTTCATTTCTTCCTCATTGGATCGATCCTCAGAAAGATCCCTACTCGGCTCTGTGACCTCAGTTAAGTTCAACGCTTCCACGTGTGGGAAAAGACATTCCTTCCCTTCTGGATCATCCGGCTTGGATTTCCACGGCTGCAACGTCTCCTTGTTGGAGGCGCCATGCTGGGATTCCAAGTTCACCTTTTTCACTGGTCCAACTTCTAGGGGAAAAGCCAGACTATTTTAGAGTCCTGCCTTCAAACGCTCTAGACCCCAAACCAAGACCAGCATTTTCTGTCCATATGTAAGTTTGGTCTCCAACAAGTGAGAGCACCGTGGCCACCGTGGGAAAATGAAGAGACCACCATGACCCCTCCCACTGCCTCCATCATAGTAAAGCTCACGTGGGACTGAGGATCTTTGCAGGGGTGGGGGAGGTATGGACATGTGGTTTCTCTGATACGAGGAACTCCCAGGGAGGAAAGTCCTTCTAGTCTCGGAGTTCCTGGGGCACCTGAGGGTGAACCAACACAGTGAATATCTGGTCGGCTCTCTAAAAGATCTATTAGGACCCCTTAAATACACCCACCCCTCCCCTCCCACCACCAGCATCAGACGGTATATCCGGGGCTCACAGATCACTGCAGACAATGAATGCAGCCAAGATGGTGAAAGACACCGGCTCCCTGGAAGGAAGCCACGGCCAATCTGGACGAGTGCTCAAAGCCAGAGACATCACCTCACCTGGGTAGTCAAAGCTATGATTTTCCCAGTAGCAAGGTAAGGCTGTGAGAGTTGGACTATAAGGAAAGCTGAATGCCACAGAATCCGTGCTTTGGAATTGGACAGCAAGGAGATCACATCAGCCAATATTAAAGAAATTAATTTAGGCCATTCACCAGAAGGTCAAATACTGAAGCTTAATTAAATACGCTGGCCACCTAAGGAGGAGACAGGACTCGCTGGAAAAGACCCTGATATGGGGGAAGATTGCAGGGAAAAGGAAGAGGGGATGGCAGAGGAGGAGACGGAGAGTGTCATGGAAGCGGTGAACGTGAGCTTGCACTGGCTCTGGGAGATGGTGGAGGCCAGAAGGGCCTGGGGGGTCACAAAGAACTAGACGTGACCAAACATCAACAGGGGCTCAATCAATCCACAAATCTTTATTTGGTGTCTATCAGTCTGGGCTTCTCCATGCCAGTCAGTGCCGGACCCAAATCAAAGTCCCTGCCCTCAAAGAGGGCATATGGACAAAGCAGAGCCCCAAGCGAAGGTGGCGCCCAGCTGAGTCTCAGAGGAAACATGGGATGCCGAGAGGGGCAGGCGAGGGAGGAGGCCGTGGTGGGCAAAGACACAGAGGCGGGTGACAGTGCTGGTCAGGGATGGGCGCTTGCTACGTGGGCATGAAGACGATGCTGGAGACAGGCCGTGGCCCTGGGGCGGGACGGCTCAAAGGCCAGTGGCCAGACTGCAGACTGTGGGCTGCAGAGACTAAGCAGGGCCACCGCAGGCCACTGCTCATGGCTCCCATTTCCCAAGAGTCCACACCTCCCGCCGCCCCTTATGGTTCAGCACAAAAAGGAGGCGAAGAGCAGGGCTTCATGCCCCCTGAGGCAAGGGCTGAGCCCCCGCGTGGTCACGCGACGGAGAGGCTGTGTTATGTATCTCCCGTGTCCCTGTTCTTTGTGTGGGTTCCTGGCTCCTCTCACCATCCACTCACACAAACGGGCCCCTCGTTTCGCCTGTCCCCAGTGAATGGGCATTGGCTTTGGATCCAGGCTTTCGTCACCCCCAATATTCTGGCCCCCTAGGTGCCTTCTTTGGTTACTGCTGCCCTTGGGGGCATCCTGGGGACAAAGCTAGGTCCTTTCTTGATGCTCCCCTGGCATAATGCCCAAATGCTTTGCGGAACGGGTGAAACGACCTATTAGTAGACAGGCTGGGTGACCTGCCCACTGACTGGGGAGGTACAAGGTGAACCCTCAGAGGGGCTTTGGGGTGCATTTCTCTTACTGTTGGTGATGCGAAGGACTCTTTCCTACCGTGTGTTTTTTTAATAGTTTGTAATTCTTTTTGAAGTTGGTTTGTTTGGGTCCTCTGACCGTTTAAGGGAAGAAGTATTTATGGGGCACCTACTATATGCCAGGCATTTACAAACAGGACCTCATCCAATCTTCAAGGACAGCAATGGGGAGGAGGGAGGAGGAGAGCAGAGGACAGGATGGAGGAGAAGAGGGGGAATGAAAAGAGGGGGGAGGGGAGAGGAGGGAGGGAGGAGGGGGGCAGAGGAGAGGACGGGTGAGAAGAGGGAGCAGGAAAAGAGGGGGAAGGGGAGAGGAGGGAGGAGGGGGAAGATGGGGGAGGGAGGAGGGAGGACTTGCCCAGTGGCTACTGAAACCACCAACGGTCAATCCGTGAACATCCTCAGTCTTCTCTACCAGCTGTCCTGCTGCCCCCAACAGATGATGCCACACACACATAGTGAAATCCATACTCCAGGTAAGAAAGGTAAGGGACCATCAGAAACTTCATCAATTTTTAAATTTCCTCAAGTTTTGCTGCCCTAACGCTACTTTACATGGCAATGGTCTTGACAAGAGGATGTTACCAAACAGGAATCCATTGGCCAGAAGAATCATAGGATCATTCATCGGTCTTGAGGCCATCCACTCCAACCCCCTCATCTTACAGATGAGGAAACTGAGGCAGACAACAAGGGAGACCCGGCCAGGGTTACCCTGAGAGGGAGGCCTGTGGCCTTGTCCACTTCACCTCTTTCAAAGGTCTGGGGAAGACCCCCAGGTGTTAAGCAGGCTGCTGTCTCCCGGCTAACACTGCTGACCACATGGGCCAGCTGGGCCTGAGGCCCAGGCACGAGTTTTCCAAGGAGGGCTGAGGCCGTGTTTCTCATCCCCCGTGCCTGCGCGGCCAAGCAGTGTGCATGACCCTGAGCTGAGCTCTCGCTGCCTCTTAATCACACAGGCTGAGCTTCTGGGGAAAATGGTAATAATCAAGGTTAATAGGAATGTGCTTTCCCCCCCTAATTTCCAGCACTGATGGTTTGGGTGAATAAATCTGTGTTTTGTTAACATGTCTTCATTATGTGCTAGGCGGCTGGGTGGTGCAGTGGACACAGTGCCAGGCCTGGAGTCAAGAAGACTCATCTTCCCGAGTTCAAATCTGGCCTCAGACACTCACTAGCTGCTTGACCCTGGACAAGTCACTCCACCTTGTCTGCCTCAGTTTCCTTGGCTGTGAAATAGGGATCAGGATGGCATCTACCAGGGTTGTGGTAGGCATCAAGGAGACAAGTGCTTAGAGCAGTGCCACACTGGCGCTGGCACACAGTAGGCATTTCACACACCCTCGTTTCCTCGTTTGCTGTTCTACCCATGTATGAGCTAAGCACAATGACTGGGAGCGTTTCCTTCTTTCCCCTGACATTGTGTCATCTGATTCGGGCTTTCACTATCCTGCCGATGACAGGGAAGCCTTGCCAACAAGTGGGCATAATCCCAAGAAGGAGCCTGCCTCCATGGCCAGCGGATCCCAGCTCTGTCTGGGGGACAGCCCCCGCAAGGAAGGGGTCCTCCATGACGACCAACCCATGTCTGGAGCCACAGGAAGTCCCACTCAAAAGAGTCACCCCAGAACCAAGATCTCAGGGATGTGTACGTTGAAAACCAAAGATAAATAAAATAATTGATCTTTAAAAAGAGAGGGACAGGAGAAATAAACAAGAACAAGACACAAAAGCAGGACCACAAGCTCTCTCCCAAAAAGACAAAAGGCTAAAAATGGGAGTGTGAGCCACCCTTTGTGGTTCGGCTGAAAGTGGACCGAGCGCCGCACCAAGGGCACACCTCACGATCAAGAGTGGGAAAGAACAGCGGTGTAGGGGAGAGACTGCTAGTGCTGCACCGTCACTCCAAAGCGTCACCTATCAACGATGTGGCAGTGATCAAAAACGGCGAAGCAGATCAGGGCAACAGACCGGGTTGGGAAGAATTGGCCAAGCCAACGACACAGTGTTCGCCGAGCCTGAGAATGTAAGTGACTTGGGGCAGACTCGTCACTGGACAGGAACTGGTCAGAGGACTGAAAAGCGATTGGCCTGACACCAGGCTGAGATCGACGCCTCCCACCCCACTGGACCAGAACCCCAAAGGGACGGAAGCCCTGAACGCCGGGCCCAGGTCCTTGTCATAGCTGGCCTAGAGAGAAAAAGGGAGTCCCCCACTAGCGAAGGACAGGGGCCATCCCAAAAGAGAAAAGATCATTTTGATTACACGGAAATGAAAAACTCTTGCATGACCAAAATCAATGCAGCTTCAACAGGAAAGGAAGACGTTTACTGGGAAGGCTCTTTTCACTGAAAACATCTGACCCTGGGATGGTAGGCTATCCTGGGGGTCCCAAAGCTGTCATCTGTTAAAGCTCACAGCTTTACTATAGTAAGGTGTTGGGGGCACTCTGTATACACATCCAAATACAGAAGGCCAGGAGCCACTCCCAGTGGAGAAGTAGTCACAGGATATGATCAGTACTCAAAAAAGAAACTGAAACCTAAAAACCACATGAAAGACTGTTCTGAATCACTAATGCCAAAGGCAATGCACACCACAACAATCCTGTGCTCCCCAAAATGGCAGACAACAAAAGACAGGGAGAGTCAGAGCTGGAGGGGCTGGGAAGAGCAGGTGCACCGACATGCCGGGCAGAGCGAGGCAAGGATGCCGTTGATAAGGTGACTTAAACGCCCCCCATCTTTCACCCAGGAGGCCTGCACCAGGAACAGAAAGAGAGAGACCATTCCCATTCCCTGCACGGTCTGAACAGCAGCCTTTTGTAGGGGCAAAGAGGGCAATGAGGAAGCCAGCCTGGGGGCAAGGACTCATGGGGTGAAGGACTCGGGAAGCAAAGGGAAACCCACACTATCTGTGAAGGGTGGGGCTGGCAGAGTGGGGGCCAATGGAGAATGCGCCCTGGAGGGCTGCCTCACTGAGTGGCGCTTACCAGCCACTACTGTCAGTGATGGGGACGAGACGGACTTTGAGGCGGTGCCGATGAAAAACCAGATGGCCACACAGATGCAAAGTGTAAAGGGTCTTAGTCCCCTCGGGGGGATGCTTGGGCATCCTCTCAGAGCATTCTTGTAGGTGTGAAGCTTCTGAAGGCTAACGACACCAGTCTTCGGTGTCTTTCTTTTCCTAAATCTGAA